AGCTCACCATCACCCTTCTTTTTCAACCATGGGAACTTTTTATTTAACCATTGATTATATAAGTTTAAGAAAATTCAAATACAACTATAGCTTTGATGAAGCTCTGAATTTGCTGCTGCTCTCAGTGATAATAACTGAATGACATCAACTACATAACTGCTTTGTTTTTGCATGGAAAAAATGAAAGGTATGCACATAACATTGTTTTTTTTCAACAGATTTAAAAAGAAAGCTACATGCAAATATTTCTTTCTAGATAAAAATTAGGGCTTTTTTTCTTTTAATTTCAAGAAGTATTTATAGCTGAGATTAAAAAGGCCCTGGAGCCATATTCCCCCCTACCAAAACAAAACTGAATTTTAAGCTTATCTAATCAATCAGAAGATTTACTGTCAATAACAAACCAGTTCAGCCTTTCACTAACTGAGCAACCTTGGGCAATTTACATAACCTCTCCTGGCCTCAGTTCACTCATCCATAAAATGGAGATAATAGTAGTAACTACCTCACTTGGTGGTGAGAATAGACTGGGTCTGACTAAAGTCTTTGCTCAACGCTTGCTGACTGTGATGCAAAAGGCGCTGGGCAGAGGGGTACAAGAAGACAGGATTCTGTCATCAAAAACTAGAGTCTCCTGGGATAGGGAGGCACATGGGCAGTTACTTAGCACAAGGTAGAACCAAGTGCTACATAGAACATTCTCAGAGAAAAAGGAAGTATTTTTCTGTCTGGGAAAATAGGGAAGACTGTCAGAAATGCATTTTATACTGGATCTTAAAGAAGGAACAGAGTTTCAGTAAGGTGTAGTGAGTGATTCAAGTGCATTCAATGCCAAGTCACTGGGCACACATGAAGTGACAAGACCTCTGCATCCACAAGCATTGAGATCTGCAGAAGGGAAGATCAAATCCTAGGTTAAACAACAAATTTTATAAAATATTGGTGTAAGCCCATCAAATGAAAGATACAAAATTTTAAAACCTGTATGATGTTTTATGTAAGAAACATATAAAATAAATGCTATGCTATTTTAGAAGTGTTTTTAATCAAAGTAAGACCCATTTTTTTTAAGGATGAAGAGAAATTTATGGGAACTACAAAGTTAGCCACAAAATCTGAAAGAGCAGTGACATTGGTCACTGTGCTCAGTGTCCCAAAATATATTGTAATATCCTCATCTTTAAAGAGTATTTGCAAGAATTATGTAAATTTTTAATTGCCAAGAAATAGAAATAGCTTTCTATCCAGGCTATTGTTCAAGGGCTTCTATGCCTAAAGGAAAGTGGAAACACCCACCATCATGAAAAATAAAAATGATTTGACCCAAACATCTCAAAAGCAAATTATTTACACCCCTTTATCCACAGCCAATGTTTCAAGCATCGATGATAGAACAGCTTTCTGAAAATGCTTGTCGAAGATGTGCTGTCACCATTCCCACCAGGAATCAGTATTTACCTTTAGAAAGATTGTTGCAAGATCACAAGAGAGTTATCCTAGGAATTCAGCCACAGTTTGATGGGAGGATAAATGGGCGGCCAGAGAGTTTGGAAGTGATAAAAGCCTAAACGGACTAAATTACTCCTCACTCCCTCCCCCTCTACTCCCTGAATGTCTGGAACTCAGAGACAAGTTTGGGCTAGTTAAATTTATTGAGCACTTAAAAATGTGGCAGTCTCTCACTGTAATGACTTTGCATATGTGCATTTAAGGTTTAAATTAACCTTAGAATAAAGGCTTCTTAGTTTTGTCTTTCATTTTTATAGAAGTTACCGACGTTTAACCCCTTCAACGAACATGTGAATTTCTAGCTTTTTAGAAATACTTATCGTTATTATCCCCATTTTGCTGACGCGGGTTTGGAAGCACAGGGAGATTGCTTCATCCACCTAGGGTCCAGAGACCAGCTAGGGTGAAGCAGGATCCAAAGCCCAGGGGCTGACCTCAGGGCCCTCCTGCTCAGCCTCTGTGTTTTCTGGCCTTAATTCAGATCATCTGCATACAAAAGGTAATTGATAAGGGGGGGGGTGTGCTCGCATAATTTGTTTCCACCAAATTGGGACATTGGAGGAGGGGCAGCAGCGCTATTATGCTGGAAAAACGGGAAACCAGATCAGTTTGGAGTCAACAGGGACAGAAGATGATCTTATTGACTGCGCCATGAGTATGAATTTACCAAGGGAGAGAATATTAAAGAAAAGAAGAAAGGAGCCGATTAGTGGGCCTTGAGGAAAACCGTTTGGGGGAATTGCCGGAAAAGAGAAATCCACAAAAGGCAGGTGAGACTGAAGACCTGTGTGTGAGTTTCGGGGCCACCTTTCCGAGGGGAGTGGTGCGCCCCAATGCCGCTGAGCTGGGGCTGCAGCTGAGGAAATAAGGACCAAGGGGCAGTTATTAAAAGGGGCAACAAAAAAATCATTAGTAATTTGCCGACAAACATTGTTTCTGTTGTTATCAATCACTTTAATTATTATTTGGTTTGGTGGACTCGGAAGCCAAATTTAAGTAAAAGGCGTGTGTGGGAGGTGAGGGCCCAGAATCAGCCAGTGCAAACACTTCTAAAAAGTGGCCTTGAAGGGGAAGCGAAAGATAGGGCTGACTGGAGGTGGAGTCAAAGAAGTTTCCTTTCTAAAAGAAAAGCTAGCAAGTGTTTAAAACTTAAAGAAAGGAGCTAGCCAATGGAGAGTGAAGAAAAAGTAGAATGCATAATGAGCCCCTCTCCGGGGGACATCCTGGAGCAAAACTCTGAGGATGTCAAAGGATGAGCCACCTGAGCGAGGGATTACCTTTACCGCTGAGGAGGTACGGCCCTGCCTCCGCGCGGGAGAGGAAGTGGGGGGGGCGGCGGGGGGTGGTCTGCGGGTTTGAGGGAGGTGCCGCACGTCTGCAGGCTTGGGCTCTCTTTGGAGTTGCTGTGGGTGGGGTTGCCCGGGTGGAGGTTTAAGAGTCCAAAGCGAGGCTGAAGAGGGCACTAGGTCCTTTGAGGTAGGTGATAGCACCCTAGTTTGACGCGAGAAAAAAAGTGTGGCTCAGAACGGCGGCCTACCCTCCCGACAGCGCACAAATTCGGGTCAGACGCCTCCGCTGACTTGTCCCTGGAAGCAAAATTCGGGTCACTGTCTTCCGGTGTCTTTTGCGCTAGAGGGTCAAAGATAGGGAATGAACGAACGTAGCTTAGCTAATGGTTCTTAACCTTATTGTGGAAGCCTGTTTTGGGGTGTAGATGATTGAGAGCATAGTTTTGTTTTTCTGAATTGTTTTATTTACTTTAGGAGGCACTTTTGTAAAACAAAAGTTATTTTTCCTTTGTAAAGGAAACTATAAAAGACTCCTCAGTTTTATCTATTTTCATAGACAATACCCCAATATCAGGTGTTAAGGCTTTTTTGACTTGGTAATTTTCAGCCTCTTAAAATGTGTGAAGTTCTTCTGTCGATTCTTTATTGCAAAAAAATCGCCAGTGTTAGACTAAGACACAGTGGGAATGGTACAAACACAAATTGAGTGTGTCCACAGTGACACAGCTTCTCAAGGAAAGCTTGCGATTCCATGAAGTCCAACTTGATCATTTTTCCAGCTTCCACTTTACATTTATGTCATATGAGATTCGAGAGATGTGTAAGGAAAGGGTGTGTGATGTGGGGATTGTGTAGAGGAACCATGATAGTTGGGATATGGGAGTCAAATTTGTAGAATGACAACTGTCCCGGCCCCAGATAGACACAGGTGTTCGCTGAATTTGTTAATAGGATGCATAGCTGAGACCTATTTAAGAGGTGAAGTTATTAGGGGTGGGAGATTAGAATGGACCTTTCCTATGACAGACACTTGGAAATAATTTTTATGTTACATCATTTACTATAGTATCTCACAGTACCTTTATGTATTTTTGAAAATGTGCTCCTAAAGTCACTTTTTAAAATAGTAGGGCTACGTTATTTTCCCCACTAGAATGTCTTTTTTTTTTTTTTTAAATTTATTTATTCATGTATACAAGAACGGGGTACAGGCCAGATGCGTGGGAGGGTGAGACAGTTCACCAGAGACGGAGAGGGGAACAGGCAGACTGATGAAATACACTGCTGAGGGGAGCAGCCCCACTAGAATGTCTTATGGAGGAATGGATGTTAACTGACTAAATCAAAACATGATTAGTGTGAAAATTCCCAATTCACCGGTCAGTCAATACGCTTTTCCAAAGAGAAATTTGAATCGTTTGCTTTTCTTTGAAAGTTTGACATGGCACACTTTTTAATTTTTGACAAGTTTAAATCCACTTAGAAAACTAAGCAAATGCCAAGACATGGTAAGTTGTAAAGGTGCATTCATTAAAAATTAATTTGCATCATCCATCCATTAAAATTTCATGGGCTCTTGGAAAGCTCAAAACATTGGCTTGATCACCAAAAATTCGGCTAGGAAAAAAAAATGGAAGGAAATTAGAGTTTTGTTTTAATTTTTTAAAAAGATTTGTTTAGTTGTGCTTACAAGAGCTGGGGTACAGGCCCAGAGGTCCTAGGGGTGAGAGGATTCACCAGAGACAGAGTGGGGAACAGACCAAGCCGATTGACTGAAATACACTGCTTAGTGGAGCTGCGGGCAAGTCAGGAGAGGTCTGCTGAGCCATGTGGGTAGCTCCCTGGCTGGCCAGCGAACTCGTGCTGCAGAGGCTGTGGTTAGCTTCATAGTGCTGGGCTTAACCCCTTGTGCCACCAGGGAGGCCCTAGAGTTTTATATTTGCGTAAGAACAACTAATTAATAAAGCAGCATCCTAATTGTTAGTTTCAACCTCTGTGATTTAAGACTTATGCAGTATCTATGAATCAACTAATTTATTTTTGTGTCACTCCTGCAACTAAATGAAAGAAAAAAAATGAACCTAGAATCTACAAAATATTTATTGATGAAAAGAAATGCAATATGTTTGGCTTGTGTTAGTAATAAAGCAATAGTCTGATTTTAATTCATGTCTTATTAACATATTAAAAATTATCCCCTAATAAACTTGAAAGTAATTTATTATAGTAATAGCTTGTTATTATTAATATATATGTCAGAGCTGTAACCAAACCCAACATTTTTTAAAAACAGCAAAAAATGGAAATACATATGATTATGATTTGAGAACTCATTTTGAAACTTTAAAAAAAAAAACCTTTTATTTGAGGTTGGAATCAGATTACGACTATCTTCCTATATTTCCACCCACCTCCTCTCTTGCTCTTCTGTCTTTATTGCTTCATTTACGTACATCAATTCTAGCTGCTTGTTCCTTTGATATTTTTATGAGTCATTTCCTTACTGCTCTTGAGAAAAGAGACTACTACCTTATAAGAGACTCCTTCTGCCTGTTGAGCTATATCTCAAAGATCCTTAATGAATGAATGAGTCGATCCATTTATAAAAAAAAAAATAGCGAAACTAATAAGTGAGCTTAGTAAATTTTAAGCAAAGCAACTTAGGCTAAAAAGACCACCGATTTATTTCCAAATCCTTTTTTGTTCCATTTTTGTAAATAAGAAGAGCTTTGAAAATGAGTTTTATTTTTTTATTTTTATTTTACTTTTTATTTTTAGATAAGAGATTTAGCTATCCAAATTATTGTGTGCCCATTCCCCTAAAAACTCCTTTTGTTTATGTTAGGTTTTGTTTTTAGTGCTTGTCATGTTAAACGATTCATTCCCACAGTGATAGACCTGGGTGTCTCATTTGTTAATCTTGTTACAGTTGTTGGGCTCTTATCAAGAATTTCATGAATTCCTCTCAGTTTCAGCTCCTAACTGCTATGCTTCTTCCCAGGTTGTCCCCCTCCCTTCTTTCTCCTCTGCAGTCCTATCTACGTGTTGCAATGCAGAACAATTAGAAATTCTTAGTGAGCATTTTTGCCCAATTTTTGGCCTGAACCCTTGGACAGCATTTGGATTAAGTTCACTGGCCAGGATCCTGGGCAGCGAGACCAAATATCGAGACCAGGAATTGTTTGTGGCTAATCTAAAATGCTGGTCTTTTAACTTTTTGCATGTCTCTTGCTTGAGATTAAGGCATGGGGTGAGATGTATCGTTCATAGCTCACCCTCTTATGTACACACGGACCACCTCCCCTAAGTGGCCAGAGTGAATAAGGGGTTGCCTGTCTTCGCAAAAAGGGAACATCAAAAGATCCTTCTCCCTAAGAGCCAGATTTTAGGACTTTTGCCTGACCTGTGTGGCTATAGGACACTCAAGTTTGTAACACAGTCTGTGCTACAGTATGTCTCCTTCAGAGACAGACTTTGGAGTCAAGTCAGTGGTTTGAAATCTTAGCTGCATCACATTGTAAAGCACCTAGCATTCAGTAACTATTTAATAAACATTAACTTTGTTTCATTTGCATCATCTCATTTTGTTGGGGGAAAGGATGTCCTGCGCTAATCCCATACAGGATTTGTGGACTCCACCCCCACTCCAGACCAAAGCCATCAGGACATTGGGAAAGACAAATCCCGTCACCACCAAAGGGAAGGTGTCTGGGACCTGAGGGTGGAGTTAAGCAGCCAGGTTGGGTATAAAAACCAAACACGTGGGCCTTGGGGTCTCTTGCTCTGTCGCTCGCCTCCTGGCTTCACGGCTCCTGGCTTGCGGCCAGCTTCAGAGTGCCATTTGGGGTTCCTGATCAGCGCATCAGGTAGGATGCATTCAAAACTTTGTCTCCCACTTTTCTCCCTGAGCTGTACATTTCCTCATTTCCCCTTCTCTTGTAAATAAACCTTTTATTAACCTTTCGTGTGTGCCTGCAGTAGAAAACTGATAAGTCCTTTTAAGCGCGCTGGTGAGGACCCACAGTCAGGCACCCCGTTTTGTATCAGTGCTGCCCTATAACAGTTTGATCTAGACAAATAGCACAAATACCGTACTCCATTTTATGCATGATGAACCCAATGTTATGACACTTGCTCAGCAAGAAGAACTGATTCTTATCTGCTCTTACTAATAGTCAAGCATTCCTCAAAACACTTTACATTTAATCCCGTGTCAAATCTATGAAATGGGTCTAAAGTAACGCTTTACAAATGAGGAAATTGCAGCACAGAAAAACCCAGTCAGAGAAAAGTTGTGATTCATACCACGAAAGAATGGCCCCCAAACAACCCGCCCCTCTAGGTACTAAGGTGCCTCCATTTCCCACAGCTTTTAAATAGTAGCTTGGAGTCATAGCTGTGAGCCCAAGGGTAGGGCACTCACCTGGAGAAGGGCGGCAGTAGGCCATCTCAACAAAGTGCCACTGGAAGACACACTGGATTATCAGATCTGCCAACCCCAAGGAGGAGAAAATTTTAGCTGGAAGGGATGATAATTCAACACCCGCAGGACAAGGCATGGAATATGGCTAGAGAGCCAGCCTAGACAGGATGCAGTTAGAGCTGCGGTGGCACCGGAACCTGGAAATGTTGTGGTCGGTGTGGGGTTCTGAGGTTGCTCAGAGAAGGAAGGAATAAAGCAGACATTCCCATTCATTAGGACACAGCAAGTTCAATCGAGAAGAGGAAAGAGATGCCAGCACAGAGACAGGCGCAGTCTTGAACAAGAAGTGCATTTTGCCAGGGAAATGGGTATTCTTTTACAATGTTCTTTGATGGAATTATTGGGGAAATGACTGCCTTGGGGTCAGATGGAGTTGGTCATCTAAAAGCAGTAAACCTCTCTGCCCCCACCTCTGGCTGATAATCTTTTCCAACCCTACCTTAGATTCCTGGAACCTTCCATAATTTTCATCTCTGGTGTTTGACCTTGTGAGACCTTCCAGCCTAAATTTTTCTGCTTGAAGTTTCCATCAGAAGCACACTGGGCAAAGTTTTCCCATTCACATGTTGCACTTTGGGGACTTGGGTCTGAGTGGGGGGACACTGTTCACAAAGGCCCCTGACTGTCCCCAGCATCTGCTCATTCTGCTTCAGGGCACTCGATACCTCCTCTCTCTGTATTGCAGGTGAATGCATTAGTATTTTTGATCACCTGAAGGACAAGACCATCTTTTAATCATTTCTTATTTCCCATATGGAACATTTAGTAGGTGCTTAATAAGTGAATGAACATACTTAACCCCAAAAGGACTGAGAGTTTGCTTTTATTATATTTCATTTTATGTGACAATGAGCTCAGTCTAATTTGTAAACTTTTTTTTTTTTCTGATGGTAAAATATTTGAATGAAATTCTTTGGAGGAAAATAAGCCAATATTTTCAACTGTGTCTTAGGGTAATGCTTTTATATTCTACCTATTTTCATGTTTTATATTTGTACTAGTACCCAATTTAAAACCACAAATAGCATAGCTTTTAAAAAAGGAATTGTGGTTTAATAATAGCTATTCATACAACCTATTAAAATGCTTACTAATGCATCAAGCCATGATGGATTTTAGTGGTTTCTCTGTAAGTGTATGAAGTAAATGCCATGTTCCTCCCCATGTGAGATTTGGTAGAAGGGTTGAGTGTGTTTTTTTTACTCATTAGTGGATATGAGTTGTAAGCGGCAGCTTACAATAAACAATCTGAAGTTTTGTAGATGAGTTTCACAACTTTTAATATTCTATTCAGTATGCTGGAGAGGAAAATGTTTCCTGTACCCTAATAGGTACACTGTGAATTAAAATAACCAAAGTCGCTAACAAGAGAAAAGGTGCAGAGTTTTTATTAATATTTACATAGATGAGAGTTCATAGAAAAGAAACTCAAAGAAGTAGTTAGACTTGGGTTTGTAAACCTTAAATCTTAATGAGGAACAAAGGACTTAGGCTTCAAGAGATGATGCACGGTAGAGAAGTAACTGGGTCGGGGTGTCTAACGGAAAACAGGGCCTCCTTTAGTTAGGACTGTTTACACAACCTTGGTGCTGAGGCAAATTAAGGTTTTTTTCTTGACTTCCCTCCCTGACAAGGGAAAGGATACCTTTCTCGAGGGAAATCAAAGCCCTGTTTTAGGTAAAGAGAGTGCAGAGAACTCTTTGCATGCCTGCCCTCAGCCACAATGGCATATTTTGGCGTGGCATATTCTGGTGGCCTTCAAGTAGAAAGGAGAGAATATTACAGTTGAAACATACATGATTTCCAATTTCATTTGTTTTTACAAATCCTATAGCTGTTTTCTTATTAAAGAATCCTGTTTTCACTATCATGTTTTAACTTATTAAAAATAAGACTAAGGTATATTTACTAAAAGCGAGGCAGGTCTTCCATCCTATTCTTTTAAAAACATTGGTATATTTTACTAGAATATTATTTATGCGTATCTATGTTACACAGTTTCAGTTCCGGTGATACTGGGCGTACATTTGGTGTGTAACTTCTTCAACTTAACATTACAACTCAAATATTCTTCATTTCTTGCTTGCTCACAGTCTCATTATTTAGCAGCTGAAAAATAAGCCTAACTATTGTCCCGTTGTCAGACAGCATGGCAGCTGCCTTCTGGTGGCCCATTCTGGCCAGGTGCAACCTGGGCCTCCAAGAGCCTGCTCAGGAGATTCACTGGTCACATCCCAGCTCTAAGCTGAGACAGGCCAAGCTGGGTTTCCCCTCCAGAAGCTCTCTTCTTGCTCTCCCCACTCACAGCTTAAGGTGACTGGAATCCAGCCCTGCAGCGCCATAAACCAACACTCACCATTCCTAGTCCAGTCCACAGTCCGGACCTGCCCAGGGTGGGTTTTTCCCTGCAGCTCTCCTTCTGCCCTAGCAATTCACCGACCCACCGTGTGCAAGGGAAGAGCCAGGCCGCTCCCTGGGCATCATGGTCTACCTGCTGGCCTCCGAAGTTCGGCAGCTGCTGCACAACAAGTTCGTGGTCATCTTGGGGGACTCGGTCCAGAGAGCTGTGTACAAGGACCTGGTGCTCCTGTTGCAGAAGGACTGCCTGCTTACTCCCAGTCAGCTCAGGGCCAAGGGAGAGATGAGCTTCGAACACGATGAGCTGGTGACTGGGGGCCAGTGGGGCCCCATGCACAATGGCACCAACTACCGCGAGGTGCGCCAGTACCATTCCGACCACCACCTGGTGCGCTTCTACTTCCTCACGCGCGTGTACTCGGACTACCTCAAGGATGTCCTGCGAGACCTGGCGTCGGGTGAGCACATCCCGGACGTGGTCGTCATGAATTCGTGCCTCTGGGACCTCAACCGGTATGGGCCAAACGCCTGGGAGAGCTACCAGACGAACCTGGCGGCCCTGTTCAGCCACCTGCGACAGGTGCTACCCACGTCGTGCCTCCTGGTGTGGAACACGGCCATGCCCATCGGCCAGAAAATCAAGGGGAGTTTCCTGCCCACTCAGGCCTCTACCGAGTCCCAGAAAGCCAGAGTGATGGAAGCCAACTTCTACAGCTGCGTTGAGGCGGATAAGCACCACCTGGACGTGCTGGACTTGCATTTTCACTTCCGCCGCGCCGAGCAGCACCGGCAGGGAGACGGGGTGCACTGGGATGAGCGCGCCCACCGACACCTCTCCCAGCTGCTGCTGGCCCACGTGGCCGACGCCTGGGGCGTGGACCTGCCCCGCCGCGACAGCGTGGGCAAGTGCATCAAGAGTGGCCCTGCGAGGGAGAGGCCTAGACAGCGGGCGGAGAGGCAGCCGCAAGCCAGCAGCAGTGAACTGACGGTCCCTCTGTCCCTACCCTTGCCGCTTCAAATGCGCCCGCCCCTGCTTCCGCTCCCACCCACATCTCCCTGCTTACTGCTGCGCCCCCTCCTGACCCCACAGCCGCACCCCGGGCCCTTTCCCCAGCAGGTGCCCCAATTTCTGCCCTGTCCCCAAGATGCCTATTTCTCCTCAGACCATCCATTCCAGTCTGATCAATTCTCAGACTATTTCCATTCAGATGTCCCCTTGTCTTCCCAGACTGAACTGGACTTTGTGTTTGACCCCCAACCCCCTCTTATCCCCCTCCCCACACCCTGTTATCAGCAACGGGCCCCTGTGGTTCATAGGGGTTTTCGTGGGTTTCCACCCCGGGGCCCCTACACACCCTGGAGACAGCGGCCCAGACCTTTCAAGAGAAAGACCCCAGCGTGCCCAGAGCCAAGGCCTCAGTGAGGTGGACTTAAGCCTTTTTTCTCCTTGTGGTCATGGGGTGGACAGATCACTGAGGCCTTGTTAACTTAATTGTTTGGCCCAACTTGGACTTTTTTGTTTATTCTATTACCAGTGAAGGGAGGCCAGAACAATCTGACTCATTCTTGGGGCCTCTGGCTCCTCTGGGGGTGACCAACATAATTCCTGCCTCCCTATGCCTTATTCTCTTTTAGTAAATGTAAACTTGAAATAAAGAATTTGTTTCACAAAGGCAGTTGTGGGTTTATGTGTGTCTCTATTCAGTGCTGCCTCTCCTTTCCGTTGAGCAGTTCTGCCAGAGCAAAGACAGGAATGGTCCGGGCAGCCACTTGATGAACTTTTCCACATGGTCTGTCTGACATAAATCTAAGGATTTTGAGAAAATGGAGTTGATTGCTTACAAATAAAAGAACATTAATCTTTTGTGATCATATTTACCGGAGATTTTAGGAATCCTTGAATTTTAGAACTGGGAAAGCTAAAGATAACAAAATTTAACATTTACAAACAAGAAAACTAAGGCCAAGAGAACTGAGTGACTTGTTCTGGGTCACACAGAAAATTCTCCACTTGTCTTCCTGGTCTATACTAGTCTCTAATTTATATTAACATTCAAGCCACAGGACTGATTTACACCATAGCAAATCTCAAACCAGGAAGGGAAGTTTACCAAACATGATCGTTCTATGCAGGTCATGGTGAAAAATCCCTATAATTGTATAACCAGAAGTTTATTGGCCTAATTGTCACTAATATCTTGAATAGTCTTGAGTTTTGCACTTGAGAAAATTAGAGAAAACTAATTGTCATTAAAACTAACTTACTGCATCAATGACAATGTGAGTGGCCATTGTAGAATAAAACCGAGCTGGAAGGCATTAGCCAGAACTCAGTTCCAGAATGGGCCACGGCCATCTCTTCTGTTTGGTAGGAATGTTAACATCAGGGAGATTTTAAATGTTAGGCCCTTGCTAATGAGTCCCAAGGCAAGTTAGGGTTAAAAGTAGGCAGCTTCAGGGCCAGTGTAGGCAGGGACTTCAGGAGAATTAAGGGAGGCCTATGAGACAAGGGCAGAGAAATTCAGGAGGGCTAATGAGGGCAGTAAATTTTACGGTTAATTCTGAGACTAATTGGGGCAGTACATTTTAGGAGACCTTGGCCAGGGTTCGGAAAAAGAGGAACTCCAAGATAAGAGCTGGGAAAATGGGCACATCTGCCTGTAGGAGTATAGCCACAAAGAGCCAATCACAAACTAGGATGATGAGATTTTAGAACAGAGGGAAAAAAAAGGTTTAAATGCCCCTAGACACAGGCCCACAACGGCTTTCTTGCCCCTTCCAAGTACAGTGTACCTGGGAGTCCTTACAGTCTTCCTTTAAATAAACTTTACTTTCTTAAACAAAGTTTGTTTCTCTCAGCTTACTTATCTAACATGTCTGCGAATTCCTTTTTATGGCTTTGTGGGACAAGAACCTGTGGTGGTTCAAGGACTAAATAAACAGGGCACACTGGCATCACTAGTACTTTGATACAATATGATATGAGTAAAATTGTCCAAATAATATGATTTTTCAATGAATTGATTTGACTGGTTACTAGGTCCTCATCTGGTCCATCCCAAAATTTAAAATGAGGGTAAAGAAATGCTATCCTGCTAAAATGAAGTTGGTGAACTCAAAAGAAATGAATCAGCTGTTTACAGAAGAAATACACTGCAACTTTAAATCCACTAAAACACTAAAATTCCTGAAGGGTAAAGCTTGTATTGTATTTATCTTTGAGCCTCCTCAATCCTGGTGAAATGTCTAGCACTTACTAAGTACTGAGTTATGTTTCTTGAATGACTCAGTGAATGAAGAGGTGGCATATAAATGTGTTTCTAAGTCTCTAAGGAGATACTATAAATTGGGTAAAAATATAAATTCTAGAAACCATGCAAATCGATATTTAATCTTTTTGGCCCATCTGAAGTCCTTGCCAAAACAGCCTGGTGATGACCTTTGGACTATAGAAAGATGGTGCCTACAAGTCAAAATTTGCAGAATGTTCCAGAATAGTCAGGAGAGAGGGGAACTTGACCAATGGAAATGTTCCACTCCCACAGAGGAGATGAGTGCATCGGGCTGTGAGATTTGGTAACATTAGCCAGTTGCCTCCATGCTGGCTATACACTTCTAAGGACAATCAAGCAGCATTAGCTGATGATCTAAGTAAGCTGACACATTAGTATTTCTATGAATATCCTAATAAATAGGTGTTGTACTTTATAGCTCTTGTAAATTAGGTTGATATATATTAATCCTTGATCTAATCACACCTGATGAACCAAGGAGAATGAGTTCTTAGATACATAGCGCTGAGGACTTGACATTAAGTCTGATAAATCCATGATACTATGGATTAAATTGCACCAATCATTTAACAGTCCTATTTCTCTCAGATGACAGGAGAGCAGGAAGACTCAGAAAGGGACATTTCCTTCCCAGGTGCATTAATTTCCCGTTGGGCTGTAAAAAATACCACCAGCTTGGTAGTTTAAAACAACATATATTTATTTTCTAACACTTCTGGAGTAAAAAGTTTAAAATCCATTACCCCAGAGAAAAATCCTACTGTCCTACATGAGCAGGTTTTTGCCTGCCCTCACAGCGTTATCTTCCAGAACTCTCTTCATTGCTCTTGATGCATTCAAACTGACAGGACTAGTATTGCTCATACATGCCAAGCTCTTTTATGACTTGGGTCTTTGTACTTGCCATTCTTTTTGCCTAGAATATTCTACATCAACTATTTTCCCATTCTTAAATATCCAACTATTCATCCTACTGTGCAATCCTACTGCCCTCGCCTCCTAAAAGGCCTATAACCACTTAATCTCAAAGTACTGCTAGGATCTATTAAGCATTTTTTTTTTGAAAATTTTATTTGTTTATACAAGAGCTGGGGTACAGGCCAGAGGTGTGGGAGGGTGAGAGGATTCACCAGAGAATGAGAGGGGAGCAGAACAGGTAGATGGACCGAAAAGCACTGCTGAGGGGAGCAGGGGGCGAGACAGGAGAGGTCTGCTGCACCATGCTGGCCAGGAATTGAACCAGAGCTGCAGAGGCTGCGGACAACTTCACAGCGCCATGGTCAACCCGCTCCACTCCCACCAGGGAGGCCCCTGTTAAGCATTTTTTATTTCCTTTGTTTTGCTTACCCCACCCTGCTGTGGCTTCAGTAGTTCCCTGTTAGCCTCTCCCTAGGACATAAGCTCTGAGTCTTGCTCACTATAGAGTCTACTAATAGTGTCTAGCAAATTCATATATATTTATCTCAGTTAAACGTTCAGTAACATAATTAAGTTGTACTGTGTACTTAAAGATGCAATTTGTGTTTAAATCAAGCTGTGTTTGATTACTTTTCTTTAGGAAATGTCTCTCATAATGTTACTTAAGTCATTTTGGATGGCTAACATCTGCTGGACACCCCATTCTCACTGGTGTGAAGGGACTGATAGCACCTTCAGTACATGTTTGTATTTAATCTCATCTATGGTGACCTTGATCTTCCAACTTAGAGCTTTCTTTTTCCCTTTGTGCTTTGTCACCTTATCCTTATGTCAAGAAAACCAGGGATACAAATAAGCTATTCATTATCTGGTAAAAAAAGCAAAAGTATCCAACATTTATGAGAGAAATTATTGCTTTTTTTTGTTTGTTTTTTGGTTTTCACTTTTATTTCCTTTCATTTTAAATTGAACTTATTCCCTAGCCCAGAATTCATGTTTCTTCTGTTTCTTCTGGTATATCTTTTTCTTCTGTGCAGCCTCCCCCCCCCCCCCCCAGTTTAGGAAAAATCTGCCCTTTTGCAGTAAGGACCATCTTGTGTGGCAGGAGGAGCTCATGGATGGGGTCCTCCAACCATGAGTTCTACAATGCATCTTGGGAGTTTTGAACACCTGGATGTGCTCAGTGGCCAGAGAGTCTACATCTAAACCCTGAGGTTCCGCATTACTAAGCATGGGCAGTAAAAGTTCAGCACTCTTTTTGCTTCACCAACCCTGCCCACTGTTTGGCCTGGGCACACCTACCATCTCCACCATGATGATGCCGGAATGGCATGCACTGCTTCTGCAGAGACATCTTTCAGATGCCTGGTGGCCTTTCAGGTATGCATACCTTGCCTGCCTGGGTTGTCCCACAATGGTTCTTAAAGTGAGCACAAAGATTTTACCTTCTTGATTTGCATGGCTTTGTAGTATTCAAAGGTCACCTGAGGGCCCTTTCCAGAAGTGGAAGACTCTGTTGTGAAGACTTGGGGCTGGGTACATTTGCCTGTTCTCCAACTCAAGACATGACAGCACTCAAAGCTTTTCATATTTAACTCCTTTCTTTTTTTTTCCATATTTAACTCCTGTCTCAAGTTTTCTGGAAAACGAAAGTAAAATTTATGCTTAAATCAGTATTATCCAAGCAGCATATGTGTCACATATTTTATAATAACCAGATTCTATTTTGTTATACCAAAGGCTCAAACATTACAGCTGTAACTATATTTTTCTATACATTCAAACAAAGCAAGGCCCAGGATTTGAAATCAGATGGAATCTTCCATCTGCCATACAATTAGAATCAGGCCCTCCGACCAGCCCCAGAGTGGTTGGCAGGCCCTCTGCAGCATTGCTCTCTGGGCAGCTTCCAGGTTAGATTCTGGAGTGGAACCCAGTACCAACTCAATCTTTTACAGCTTTATGTTCATGAATTCTGCAAAGGTAAGTTGCTTGAAAATTTATATTGTTAAGACTCATGTCAGAGGAAGGACTTATCAATGTTTTAAAACTATTCTATTTTTGTTTCCATAAACCTAGAAACAATATCCTCATTCCCACAACTTCAAGTCTACATCACTGCATGCTTCATTTATAGCTGCAGCTTTTCACAAAAGTTACCCATTAAACTTTAAAGAAACATTTCCCAAAATATGTCCTTTTGAGCCATAATCTTTACTCCATATGCATTCATAATTGCCTCATGGAAATTCACAATGACTTAATAAATTAGAGGCTTTGAAAAAAAATCTCCATTAATTGATGAAATGTACCTAACCTAGTATTTTGCAGTTTTATTTAATTGCAGGCCATTTTTATAAGTAGCATCTTTTAAAAACATATTTTGGGAAATATTGTTCTTGATAATGCCAGATAAAATAGTTGAAGTTAGTGGAAAGAAACTTCTCAGATGCTTTACATATAAAGCCCTTTTGTAAAAACTTTTTTCATAGAGGTAACCTTGCCTTGTAGGTTTCAGGTGCATCATGAAAAATCATGTGTGGAGATTACACTAAGTTCACTGCTAAAAGTTCAACTCTATGCTTCTCCATATAATTAGTTCCTTTTACTAGATTGACCCCCTCATCCCCAAGCCCCCTTTCTTCTGATTACCATTAATTTGATTTTATAGTCTAAAATTTATTTTGGTTTTATTCAATCACTAGGTTTTTTGGTAAAGATTTATTTTATTTATTTATGCATACAAGAACTGGGCTGCGGGCTGGAGGTGCAGGGGAGTGAGAGGATGCACCAGAGACAGAGTAGGGAACAGAACAGACAGATCCACTGAAATACACTGCTGAGGGGAGCAGTGGGCTGTTGCATCAGGCAACACCATACTGACAAAGACAAGGGAGTCATGGAGCAGGTTACATAATGCAGGATATTGACTGAGAGCAAGATCCTGGCCGTTTTTTATTGATAGACTAATCATACAGCATCAGCTATGTGTGTGAGGCAGGACAGGGAGAAAAGGAGGAGTGAAACTCAGGAATGTCATCTAGGGCTTGAGGGGGACATGAGTCTGCTGACCATATGATCAGCTTGATGACAAGTGTTGTAAGCGAGACTGGACCCCAGACCCCTGGCCATGGTCCTAATCTTTTATCAACAAGGCATTCCACTGGTCAGCTTCTGGGGTCCCTTGTCACACATTAGTCCTCAGCCTCCCAGGTGTTCCCGGTCATGCCTCATGATGCGTACCCTTCCCAGAGTGATCAAGGTTTCTGCTCTTGATTGATTTGAAAGGCAGCTTGTAAGGTTTGGCTCCTATGACTGATTGATCGGTTCTGAAGGGTAGTTCTGACCTTGTATAGGAATGCAGAACTGCAGGGAACAGTAATGGCAGCTGAATAGGCTGTTTAAGTTTAGCAGACCCACAGTGGGTGAGACAGGAGAGGTCTGCTGCGTCATGTGGGTCACCTCCCTGGTCGGGAATCAAATTCAGGCCTCAGTGTCTAGTGATAGCTTGATTGTGCTGAGACTTAACCCCTGCGCCACCAGGGAGCCCCCAATTACTTGTTTGTTTCTTTATGTATAATATATAGGTGAAATCATATGGTGTTTGACCTATTTCACTGAGCATAAAACTGTCCAGGTCCATCCATGTTGTTCATTTTTATTTTTAAAATTGACTAGTACTCCATTGTGTATATATACCACAGTTTTGTTCCTTTCTAATGGAGCATTATAATAATCTGCCCAAACATGTGTTAATATTCATTAAGCAAACTTTGGAAAATTCTGAGATGCTAGTTAGCCAAAGTGGGGTGGAATGGACCCAGAATGATTGCCCTCTTCTTCTAAGAAGAGTCCACTTTAGGAGACCTCCCTGGTGGTGCAGTGGGTTAAGTCACAGCACTATGAAGCTATCCACAGCCACTGCACCATGAGTTATATCCACAGCTGGCCAGGAAGCTAACCCACATGGCATAGCAGACTTTCCTGTCTCCCCCGCTGGCCCCCTAAGCAGTGTATTCCAGTAGATCTGCCTTTTCTGCTCCCCACTCTGTCTCTGGTGAATCCTCTCAACCCCTCACCTCTGGCCTGTACCCTAGGTCTTATATGCATAAACAAATCTTAAAAAAACAAAACAAAACAAAAAAGGGATGGCCCATCTTGGTAACAAGTGTTGGGGAGCGTCCAGTCCCTCTTGTACAGTAGGGTGGTTCCACCTCAGGTGTTTGCTGCCTGGCACAGATCAGACTATCCTTAGTGACACCCCAGTGGAGAATGGTCATGGGAAATAAGGAACAAACAGTATTCTGAGTCTGAGCACATACATAGTCACTCAACACAGCTCCCTCTGTTGGCATGTAGCAATGTTAGCAGGACTCAAAGCTCTAGAAAAGTAAGAGTCTATCTTAGAAGCATGAGAACACCATCAGGAGCTGCTGGGACAGAGCCATCTTCTCTGATGAAGAAGAGATTCTGTAGACCACGTGGTCTGTGACATCAAACCTCACTTGATGTCATTCACAGATGCCTTCGTCATGCCACAGTGATGCTCCAGGCCCAGCTGGCACCTGGCTTATTAGTTTGGCATCTTATCTTTACTTCTCACTCCCATGTCTACACATCTTGCATTAATTTTTGTGAAGCCATCTTTGATCTTATATTTTATCTCATTAATATGTCACATTGCCAGACTGATCTTTTTCCTACCACCCATTTTCCCCTAACTGCACCTTGCCCTAAGGCAATGTTCCTAAAATTTAATTTAGAGGCCATTAGAATATTCTGGTGAGCTTGTTAAAACATCATTGCTGCCATCTCCCCTCTGAGTTTTATTCTCATTCAAAAGGTCAAGGGTAGTGTCCTAGAATTTGCATTTCTATTCCACACTTTGAAAACCACCAAAAATGTAAAAAGAATTACATAATCCCACTCATATCTAATCCCACTCATAATCTAAATTTATAACCACTGGTAACATTTTGCCATATCCTCCTTTTCTTTTTTCTGAAATATTTTAAAGTGAAATACTTCATAATATTTCATCTCCAAATATATCATGTGGGCCTCCCCGGTGGCGCAGTGGTTGAGCGCTTGGCTGCGAAGATGCCCGCAGCCTCTGCAGCACCAGTTTGATCCCCGGCTGCAGGGCGAGGGTCCCACATGGCACGCAGACCTCTCTTGCCACACTGGCTGCTCCCCTCAGCAGTGTATTTCGTCAGTCTGCCAGTTCTGTTCCCCGCTCTGTCTCTGGTGAATTCTCTCATGCTCCCGCACTTCTGACTGTACCCAGTGCTTATATAAATAAATAAATATTTAAAAAAAATAAATAATATATCATGTGTGGGAAATTAGGACATTTTCCTATATAACTGCAAGATAAGTATCACATACCTCAAATAAAACAGAATAACTTGCTGCTGTCATCTGATGCTTTATCAATTAAATGTCTGTGTCACTCCAACAATTATACATT